TTGAATTGAATGATCAATTATTAGACCTGGACGCGCCAACACTTGCTTCGCAAGATAAACTCAAGGTATCCCCTAAAGGGCTACCTTTCGTGATATGCAGTTCCACTTTCCTGCAAAGTCTTACACGATCCCGCATCATCTAAAGAATGATGCTCGTTTGTCTGCTGGTCTCAAGAATGCATTGTTCTATCATGATGTTCGACCATGGAGGCAAATGCAATGACAGTAATTACAAAAAGTTGTTTCCAAATCTGTCATGGAAATCACTGTTTCTCAGTCTGGTCTTTTCAACACACATCGGCCCCACCCACAGTCATCTGATTCACACCACATGTTGATGACGTCTCAGGTTGTCGCAAAAGCGGCCCGCTGCTGTCGGAACAACCTGGCACCAAGCACATCACTTCTTTACATCCTTTGAAGGGATTGCCTTCGGTGTCTGACCCAGTTCCTGATTGGATCTTGGGAATCGCGAAACGACCAACATTGATCGGTAAATACTGGCACCAAAAGCAGGTCACTTCACCAAGGGGTATCCTCTGGTGAGCGAGCTATTGTCAGCTCAGCCTAAGGGCCAAGCAGTTTGCTTTTGCGGTCGAGCATAGGCTTGCAAGAGCAAAGTGAGCTTTTGCCGACCTTGTGCAGGCTCAGTGTATGTTGGACAGCCAATCTTACTGTACCTTCTATGATTATGATATGAACATAAAGCGTAAGTGGCATATTAAAATACACAAAATTGCAATGCAAGAACGTAAGGACGTTGAATCTGCCACTTTCCAAGTCTTGAATCTTCATACCCTGTGAATGGTGAACAACGGCATTCGCCGAGCTTTCCTCCACAAGCGAAATCCTGGCAGCTCCCCCCCCACGTAATGAACTCAGCCGTTTGCGAGGATGGTCAAAGGGCACCTCACCCAACAAAATCAAGGATAGGCTAGGCTTAAGTTGACGTTTCAGTGGACTGTGATCGATGCACTGGTCTACAAGACGAGCTAAGCCAGCTGCAAAGTCTATGGCTTTGCGGCCTTCAGGACCTTCAATCTGCAGTTGCTCGAAATGTATGTTGTCAATGTATTGTCAATGTCTACATGTAAATAAATATACAGTATACTCTTAAACCATGTAGACGTGAGTATATATATATACTGGGTATATATACATATATTATATATATACACCCCCAAACATAACTTACATGCACATAGGATCACATAGGTTTGCATCATTTTACATCAATATATAAATTGAATCCCAACATAATTTTATGGCCCGTCTGATGGCTCCAGCCTATAGCATGTACATTGGCACGGCTGCGAAGCAACAAAGAGACAGCTCGAACATCCACCTTGACAAAAATAGAATAAAAGAGCGTGTTGGCTGGATCGTTTTGGATGCTTTGGGGTCTGAGTACAAACACGTCCAAGATCTGGTCTGCTGAGCTGACTGAGATCGGGACACGGCGTGCTGCACCATGGAGTGGTGCCTGACGCAGCCGGTCAGTCGCATTCGGATCCGCCTGAGCAACCAAATGATCTGGTCCAAGAGAATGGAGCTAAAGTTTGCAAAGGACGGATGTCATACACTTGATAAAATGCTTTCATCCAACACAGCTTAACTTTTCTCTGAGAGTGGTGCATCACGCTCCAAAAGCCTTTCCATGCCGTCGAACCATGCCATTCTCGACCTCATTGAGCTTCCATGATGTCCACGACTTGCAAAGTTCCCTGTTGTGACATGCGACAAAAGCAGTAACGAGTGCATCGCTACTAGTAGCAAGAAGCTATTAGGTGGAGGCCATCGCTACTATATAGTAACAAGAAGCTACTAGTAACATGAACAAGAAACTACTAGAATCTCGTCTTTGCTGAGCTTGGCCCCATTGGGCCCCATGCGCCACATGCAAGGCGGTGCCGCCTCATGCAGAATCTATGCCCCTGTCTCGCTCTGCTCATTATCAAAGAAGGTAAGCACCTTTCATCTTAGCCCTTCCACTGACATCACGCAATAAACGTGGCGATTTCCGTTGTTCTACTTTCCGCAAAGGCTGCAGCCACCCAGCATTTCGTTGCGAGAGTTGACATCTGCTCCGGCCCTGGACGTTTGAAAGGAACAAGAGTCGGGTGCCTTTCTAACTACACCAAGAGATTGCAGTTGCATGCCCACCCTGCAAAGCTGCAGTATTCCTGTATATGACGACTTGGGACTGGACCCATATCTGCTGTATGGCCCCTTCCACGGCACCTTACCCCCCTTACACCTGGTGCAAACCTCCATGATAAGTTGCCTGATGCTGTCTCAATTGTCCATGCCTGATCAGCAAATTCATGACCTTAGCAGCAACTCGGCAGTGTGGCTAAACACGCTGGAAGGGCTCACCAAATGCTCTCCCATGCTCTTATGATCTCTTATGTTGTGTTGTTCTTTCTTACTGTTTTTTGCCCCCCATCCCTCTCGCTTTACATTATTTACCTCTCTCTCTATCCCTGCCTCGCCACATTTTGCCCAAGGACTGCATTTGCACATTCGTTCAACCCCCCGCACAGGGTGAAAAGGCAAATTATCTGCCGCCCTTCACTCTCAGCTCAGATTCTCAGCCTGTTAAATGCATAGCGGCAATTGTGTAAACATCACTAGAATCCAAGTAGTGACAAAGCATGGCCAAGGACACAAACATGTCCTAAAGTAAAGTGAACCGTGAGGGTTAAACATGATAAAGCACCTCATCTTGCGCATTCTTGTAGACAAACCACTGTTGCAAAGCTTCCTCCAAGTCATCCAAGCGGACTTCAAGTTTAGCAGCAGCATTGGGCTCATACAGCACCACCTCACTTTATCTCGTTGCAAGATTTTAGTGCTACCATGTGGCAAGTGGCAAGGATGATGCAGCAAACCAATCAAGACAGTGTGCAGGAAACAAAACCAAGAACTTGGATGATTCTGATGGCTTCCAAGGAGTGCTAACTGTTCGCACTTCAAGATTGAAGGAGTCGAGTTCTGAGAGACTGAGAGATAGAGGGAGAGAGATATACTTGGTTCAAAACCACCCAATCATGCTTCATCGATGTATGCTTTTCAGTTGGAACGAGTCTCAAGTCTCCAGGGAAAGTTTGAGGTCAGGGCGTCGGTCCTTTTCCTCAATAATTTCAAAACTTCGATGAGACTCATGACACGTTGTTGTCCATTGCAGCCCAAGGCTCGCGGAAAAAGCTAAGGGACGCCCCAGCTCCTCCATACCAATGGCCTCAAGAAGGACAAAACAGCCTCCGTGGGTTCACCGGCAATTTGCGACCGGCCACAATGTGCGTAAGGTGAGAGTAAGCATGACCAAGACTAAACTCACTGGTTCTAAACCAAATAGATCCAAATAGTAATCCTAATATATAACTATCCTATCCTGTTGGTGCTGGAGGATGCTAGTAGGGTAAGTGGGGGAGCTTGGCGCTAGGTTGCTTAGAAGCGGGATATGGATAGTCACGGGTTCAATTTACTTCATCAGTGCAGGGTGAATGGACCTGTTGACTCGCCTATAAAGTGACCGGCCAATTACTTGATTGATTGCCAAAGGGACGGATGACGATGGAAGATTAGTGCTTTGAGAATGGATGAATTGTAATTGGACTGGATTTTCGCCGATTGACTGATGGACTATTGGATGGCTTCCATGATTGGAAAATGGTGGGTGGCTGGCTGGGATGTGAGTGGGTTGGCGTGCAATCGTTTGTCTGGATTAGGTGAAAATGCTGGAGTGGACAGGAAACTGCTGCTTCGACCGGTTCCTTGTTCGATGGGTGGAAAAGTGGTCGGGCAAACAGATTCATCACCGTTGCTATCTGGCAAAAAAAAACGTCCATCAAACACAAACTTGCGGCAAACCATTCCATCTCCGTCACGGATGGTTAAACATCAAACTTGCTTCGCACCCTCCATTGCAGCTTCGACGCTTTTATAAGGTGGCCACTTCCACTCTCCTGCGCGGCTCCCAACGTGTCAAGGGCCAAGGGCATCCGCAGTGACAAGACTCTAAAAGAGTCCCGCAAGTATATGCAAGTATTAGCAACATACATTTGGAAGTTAAGGCTTCTCCGTCCAAACCTTTTGACATGAACATGAAACAAGTATCATCACACATGTGAAATAAAATT